TCGTCTACCCATCTTCAGAGACTGGAAAGTCCTGCGCACAGCTCTCCTTATATGGCGCACTTTTTTCAATGCGTGACCCGCCAATGCCGCCTGTATGGCTGCATCCAACTCGCATGTCACCGTGACCTGACTCGCCCCCGACCTGTCTGTCGACTTCAATGCAGCTGAAGAGGGTGCAACTACGTTAGGAAAACCGGCCGAGGGCTGCAAACGCGAATGAACGAGCATAATTTGGCCGTGCGAAGGTTGAACCCAAAGTCGGAGGTAGCAACTCATGCCGCGCAAATGGGACGCATCTTCAACTTTGACGCTGTTGAGATTGTGGGCATGGGCGGTGATCATACAACAGGGCAAGGGCAAGAAGCCTGGATATCCACCGACTGTTCTGTCAACCGCCAAATCAATCCGCTTCCTCCTATCTGATTTTACGAACCTTCTTAATGGGGAACAGTCACGGCGCGGGACAATCGGTACCGTCAGTCATCATCGCGGCCGACGGGGAGATTCAGATCACGGTGACATGCAGGTTGGGTGCAGCCACACAGGAGGCATTGGCGAGTCACGCTTTGAACAAAGTGCGCCATATAAGGGGAGACGTGCGCAGGACTTTCCAGTCTCTGAAGATGGGTAGACGAATCAACTACTCGAAACGTCGGACCTCCAATAAACCCCTCCCGGTGAACGTCTCTACGTTAATCTGTTTGACCTAGACATCAGAACTCGTTGTTAAGGGAAGTCAGACAAATTTGCCCATATCCACTCCGTGCGATTTATAGCACGAACCCACGGCACTACCACCACCCTCAGTGGACGCATTTGTGCAGTTCCAAAGCAAAGATAGGTACCGTAAAACAAGTGCGAGACGTGACTAACGCGACCGACGGTGGGCACGGAGAAAGGCCCACAAGCCTAACAACAGCACGGCCAATCACAGTACAGGGGCACTTGGTTTTACTTTTGATTGGTCTATGGCGAAACCTTCGTTTCCATTACATCCAATCACAGTCCGATGTAGTCGAAGTAAGCTGAACCAATGAACAGAAAGGATGACGGCGGAGACCGTCTAGATGCGCGTGTTTGGTCGCTTCTGTTCAATTGCACTTTCTTCGTCCCCGCGCGCCTCGCAAAGTGCGTCCTTCCCTAAGCTTTTATCTCAATACTTTTTAAACATTGCAGCGCAATTTTTTTACGAGCCGAATTCTCATTTTGACATCCTGCTTTTTTCTTTATTCCCGTCGTTCGCTATCCTTGCATTTCCCATTCTGGTGCTCATCTCCACCCCACCACGCCATGTAGCAGCATGCTCTCTTGTGGCGAATCAGTATGTCTACCAGCTGGCGCATTTAACTGTTGACGCAGACTTAAATCTTTTCAGTTACCATCTCTCGATGTTGCAAAGCTTCTAATCGTAAGGGAAAAGAAAAGTACGTGATCGCCTAGTTCACCCGGGAATCGCACGCTCTCCTTTTTACGACAAGAACCTGCGACTCATATTATGCACTTCGAGTTATGTTACTAATTGTCGCACATTTGTTAACCTTTCGTGCATGTAATGAAGAAACTGTCCCAGGCCACACTGGAGCTGGCATCTTCCACATTTGTTGGAGAGGTTGACCATTGAGGGTTACTCTTGTTGAAGTAATCTCGCCTTTAGGTTCTGATATTTTGGGGAACTTTTTCGACGTTCACCGTCACAGTTTCGTGAAGTTCACTTCCAATTGTAGGCCGGGCATGCTAAAAAGCGCAGCCTCCGAGTCCATTTACCACTCAATGTTCTCAAGGTTTTGGCTTTGTGTCTGTCAGTTTCTTACCGCCAAGTTGTGGATTACAAAATAAGCTTGCTGCTGTCACCACTAGACTCCTTGGGCCAGTAGTTTTGTTCTTGAAAAAAAATCGCTGGCGACTATTGCTCCCACTGAAACAGAGTCAGTTACATTACTCTTTGTTAGAGTTGTTGAAACGCCTTGGCAAAAATTTCATTAACCATTAAACGAGGGGGTCTGTCATTTGACCTAGTCGTGGAGCACTCCGTGCATTCATAGGTGGAGGGTAGTGGGAAAACTCATAGTCATGACTACCTGAAAGAAACTACAGCTCCCGGATCCGATTAAATGGCAGTCGGACAGTTCGACGGCAATACCTTCAGGTTTAGCACGACGCTGAGCTGACAAATCCCTTACCTTTTAAAACAACATCAAGCCAAGTAAGTATTATGTCCTGAAAAGCGCTGCTTGTGATTCAGTAGGCTTTCCTTTTCCCATACCTTTGCCACCTCCTTCCGCGCAGGGACCGGCGGCTTCGGGTGCCCCACGAAGATTAAAAACGCACGCTATGGGCTCTAGGCCTGGCTATACCAGAATTGGTGATAATTGAAACGTCATCGACAGGAAAACTACATTTCCGTCAGCTAACGCAGCTGGGCTTTTATTTAGTCATGGGGGAGTGATGTTCATCGATTTTGCTTTCATGAACTGGCCTACTTACCGACCATGGCTTTGACTGGTGGACTACGGCAAAAAATGACCGCCTACCAAAAAACACCATAAGCCGTCTAAACCGGCCCTCTTGGATGTAATACAGATGCGTTTCACGAAATTAATCACCTAACTCCACGGGCTCCAAATCAAGCAAGACACAGGGCTGAACTTTGGGAAAAACTCGAGATTCGCCTTCTACTACCACCCCCAGGCTTTACTTACTCACTTGAACTTGATACGGCTGCGATCATGTCTGATCTAGCCGGCCTCGATGATGTCACGAACTGTACCTCTCCACGAGTGGTGATCCGCGGCAGCAGATCTGGACAGCTCAACCCATTCCATTCGCCAACGACGGACACCGAATACCGAAGGTCCAAGAGACACCTCCATGTCTTGACGAACTGTGTCGAGCCAGGTTTTGAACTGACTCCCTCTTCGACGCCTCCACTGGGGTAACGGTGCCGGATCGAGCGCAGTAACACTGAGCTCCTGAGTTAGACGACGAAGAACGTGCCCAAACAACCGCAGTCGTCTTTCTTGGATGACCTGAGTTATCTTTGCGATGTTGTTGCAGCGAGCGCGAACCATCTCATTTGAGACGAAGCCGGTGTAATTCACTCGAAGGATGGTCCTCAAGCAGTGGTGGTCAAATACCTCCAGTTTCCGCTCGTCCTCCACGCACACAGCCTAGCATTCACAACCATAAAGAAGGGCAGACCGGACGGACGCACGGTACACGGTACAGGCTTGAGAAAGCCCAGCGGACAGCATTAATTCGGGAGACAATGTCGTCCTTAGTTTGTCCATTAGGCAGCAGCCTCGCCCCGAGGTATTTGAAACTGTCAACTTCTTCAAGTTGACAGCCATAAATTCCGAGGGTTGTTCTCTCCTGTTCAGGGATGCAGCTTGAAAACACTTTCGTCTTCCCAGCGTTTATGGATAAACCTATCGATTTAGCGACCTCCTTCACCCGTGACACCATGGACTGCAGATCATCAAAACTTGAAGCAAGTAAGGCGATATCATCGGCATAGTCAAGATCAGTCAGTCGATGTCCGGGTGCAAACTCAACACCGTCACCTTTGTGTAGGGTCCTCCAGAGAATCCAGTCCATAGCGTAGTTGAACAGAATGGGCGACAGGGTACAATCCTGTCGAACGCCAGATCGAATACCAAACGGTTGGGTAAGATTGTTGCAGACCGGGACTCGCATGGTGTTGGAGCTATAATAGGCCTTGATCATGACGATGATTTTTGCCGGTACACCATCTAGCGCAGTTATCCGCCACAGGGACTCACGATGAACGGACTCGAACGCGGCAGCAAAGTCAATGCAGCAGACGGCCGTCGGTTGTTGGTAACTATGGCGAAATTCGAGAATGCGCCTTAGTGTGAATATCTGATCTGCGCATCCACGTCCAGCACGAAATCCGACTTGGTTGGGCCTCGTCCTTGAGTCACACAACCTGGAATCGCCTGAGTAGGACAATAGCTAAGATCTTCGCAGCAACGTCGATGAGACTTATGCCGCGGTAGTTCTCGCGCCTCGTCTTATTTCCCTTCTTGAGGATAGTTACAAGGATGCCTAAGCCCCAGTTATCAGGAACAACCTCGTCTCTCCACGCTCGTTCAATCACCTCATGGAGCCAGGGTGCCAGGGTGTCGACACAAGACTTGAAGATTTCCGCGTGTACACCGTCCTCTCTGGATACCTTATTGTTGCGTAACTTTCGTATGTCATCGGCGACATCTCCTTCAGAGGACAGGTCGCATGACACTGCATAGGTAGCAGAGGGAAGAAATTCCGCTGAAGACGAGAGCAAGGGCGAGGTAGGTTGGGTATCGAAGTTGAGATGGTGCTCGAAGTGCTCACGCCAGTGTTCGACTTTGGCCAAGTTGTCAGCAATAAAGTCGCTATTCACGTCGCGAACAGAGTCACTCAGTGTAGAGGGTCTACCGCTAACTTGGCGGATCAGTTGGTAGAGCCTTCGAGTGTCACTAACGTTCGACGCCTGTTCCATGGAGGTCGCTATTTCAGCCCAATATTGCTTCCCGTCATCCCTGGCCGATTTTGTCGTCATCTTCCGAAGTTGGCGGAAACAGCCATCGTTACGGGACCTGGCTCGAGCAGTCTGAACAGACAACTGCAGGGTTCTTCCGCTGATCCAGTCACAGCGGCGTCGCTGGGTGTCTCCAAGGATTTTCTCAGCCGCCCCATAGACTGATGTTTTTAGTGACGACCACTGGTTACTGCCTTCTCCGTCCACTCGGATCGTAAACCAGGCCCTGATTTCCCTGCTCAGGGCCTCGGCAGTGCTGGTTTGCCGGATTTTTGCGACATCGGGGCGTCTAGGACGTGACATTTTTGGCGCGGATGAGAGATGAACTTTCAAGCGTGTACTGACGAGGACATGGTCCGACCCATGGGCGTTGCCAGTCTCGGCAACACGCATCGATCTGCTATCGTGAACCCAGCGGCGGAACCGTTAGCTGACTAGTATGTAATCAATTTGACTTGCCCTATGACCTTCGTTTGAATACCAGGCCAGCGGATGTTTTTTTGCGATGCTGGAACCATGTGTTGGTGACAAGCAGTCGGTTTCGATCGGCGAAATTCAGCAGTCTCTCACCACTTTCACATCGGGAACCAAGCCCAAAGCGGCCAAGAAGATGACCGGTTGTGAGGTCGCCAGGTTCAGATCGACCATTCCAATCGCCAGCAACAACCAGAAGATCGCGGTGACGCAGTCTTTCAACTAACGCTTGCAACTGCGAGTAAAACGCCTCTTTATCACGCTGTTCGGCAGCCGAAGTCGGTGCGCACACGGAGACGAGTGAGATGTTCGTGAAGTGACCCTTCAATCGCACGTAGGCCATCCATTCATTGTCTGGTTCCCAAGCAAGTAGCGCGAGGTCCGTTTGTTGCGATAGGACGATCGTCACACCGTGCCGACCAGAAGAGTCGCGCGGGCCGCTGTGGTACAGGGTAAAGTGTGACTCGACTCCAGGGATCTTTATTTCACGGAAGCCTGAGTCAGGAAGTCGAACTTCAGACAGACAGCAGACATCCACGTTGTACTGATCAAGGCTGCGCGCGGTCAGACTTTGGGTACCGGAGTCCAGCAACGTTCGCACATTCCAGCATCCAATACCAAGAGTCCGTCCCCGATTGAGTAGTACAGCTCGCATACTATTCGCCCGCACCACTGGACCAGGGTTGCGGAGCGCGTCGGTTCCCACAGACGCCGTAGCATGGGTCGTACTACTGTGATCCGACATATTTCATGAGGTTTCTTGGGAATTTCGAATACGGGCGGGTCCCCAACTGCCGCTCGGATTGTTTGTTCGACGTTGTCTCCTCTAGCGCTTTGGCCTAAAAGCCTAGCCACAAGGCAGTGGTGGCAAGCAAATTTATTTTATGGCGGTTTACGGTTGCCATGTCAAAATGCCGTCATTGGACTTTGCGGCTTTTTATAAGGCTTTCAGCGTGCCAGACCTCGGCCCACCGCACCCTGGTAGCAATGTCGCTGCTGGTCCGCGACTGCTTATTCGTCAGACTTGGATCTGCTTATTTCGCAGCTAACCTTCACTGAAGGTCGTCCCACCATCCGCCACCTATGGACGCGCCGGGTAGCCAGCAGCAAGTCTAACGGGCAACCCGTCTTCCCGGCGTGAGGAGAATATTAAGCGTCACAACTAGAAGACCCTGACTGTACTAATCGTCAACTAGACGCCATCTTGTGGTCGACAGGTAGTCGTACTCAGTAGTCAGCCTACGTCGCCTCCAAGTTTTTACCACCGTTGCTTATTCCTCGATTGCCTGTCTCGACATTGATTTGCAGGTCTACTGTCCTAAGCCTCAGTGAAAATTTTGTGATTTACTCTGAAGAGCGGCGTAAGAGGATCTTGAGTCCCAATTGGCCGACCGCGGCCCTTTCTGCCTCCAAGATACGGAGGTCAAGTCTTTGTCAAGCGGACGGAGTTAGGACTATATCCGTGCTTCTCGCTGGTTTTCTGCAGGTCTTCGGGCTTGTTAATGAAACCGTCTGATACCTCGATCGATATTAAAGTCTCCTTCCTCCATAATCATGGATGCTGAGTTAGGGAGGGCGAGTGAGAACTTGGGGTGTTTGATCACCCACTGGGAAGACCTGGGTGTTTTCAAGCTGCATCCCTGACCAGAAGAAGGCATCCCTCGGGATTGATGGCTGTCACTTTGAAGAAGTAGACAGTTTCAAATACCCCGAGGTGAGAATGCTACCGAATAGACGGAATAAGGACAAGATTGTCTTCCGAATTGATGCAGCCCACCGATTTTTCTCATATTTTAAAGCTTGCCTGTGGAGCCGACGCGACATCTCCATTAACACTAAGATTCGCGCGTACTGCGCATCCGTCCGGTCTGTCCATCTCTGTGGTTGTGAATGCTGGGCTTTGTGCGTGGAGGACGAGCGAAAACTGGAGGTATTTGACCACCACTGCTTGCGGACCATCCTTCGAATGAATTACACCGACTTCTTCTCAAATGAGGTCGCTCATTCGCTGGGACAACATTGCAAGGAAAACCCAGACCATCCAAGAAAGTCGACTGAGGTGGTTTGGGCATGTTCTTCGTCCTCCGCCTCAGGAGCTCAGTGTTACTGCCCTCGATCCGACACCGTTACCCCGTTGGAGGCGTCGAAGAGGGAGTCAGTTCAAAACCTGACTGGACACAGTTCGTCAAGACATGGAGGTGCTTCTTGGACCTTCGGTATTCGGTGTCCGTCGTTGGCGAATGGAATGGGTTGAGCTGTCCAGATCTGCTGCCGCGGGTCGTCACTCATGGAGAGGTATAGTTCGGGACATCATCGAACGTGACGATCCGTGGAGACCCCGACCCACCCGCATCTCTAGCGAGGGAGACCGAATACTTAAGGGCCACGAGTGGCTCCCATGTCTGAAAAGAATGTGTTGAGTCATGTTTGGAGTTAACCTCTTATAAGTCCGAGGTGAATAACAGTGCCGGATCAGGGACAACAACACTGAACTCACTGCGTGGGCTACGAATAACATGCCCAAACCACCTCGATTGTTTCATGGGTGACTTGACGTATCCGCGCGATGTTTTCTCGACGAATGCAGGTGTTCCTATTCGGGAAGAATTTAGTCTACTTCAGTCAACAGATGATGTGGCAACAAATCCACCTAGTGGTATTCTAAGCAGTTCATTTCACAAAGTTGGCTTCTATCAGTCAGTCTGTCAGTGTATTTGAGGGAAATAGGCTTACGCCTTTGAACTCCCTATTTGTGCATAAAAAAATCGATAAACAAGCAAAAATGTGAAGAAATTACAGCATTAAGTGAATGCATACATTGATTCACATATGTCACTAGTCACATGGCTAAAAAGTCACATAGTCCGCTTGTTGCTGCTGCATATATCTGTCAAGGCGACATTTAAATGCCTCCACAGATTGAGACATAACAACCGTCTCGGGCAGGTTATTCCACGGGTCCACGACACGGTTGGAGAAGAAACATTTTCTCACATTCAGTCTACCCTGTGGCACACGTAGCTTGAAGGGATGTCCCCGGAGGTGAGTTGTAGTGGCGAGTTGGAAAAAGTCATCGCGCCGAAGGGCACAATCCAAGCCGCGCACGATACGGAAAGTTTGTATCAAGTCTCCGCGCAACTGCCTATAACTCAGAGGATAGAGATTAAGGTTAGTTAAGCGGATCTCCTATGGCAGTGCACTTTAACCTCTTATTAATTTTGTTGCTCGTCTCTGCACCCTTTCGAGCAGATCGTAATCCTGATGCGTCCACGGTCTCCAGGCCTGAATTGCATATTCGATATGGGGCCTTATAAGCGTGCCGAAGACTTTGGTGAAGCAGTCTTTATCGAAAATTACGAATGCCTGCTTGATGGCATATAGCATTGAGGTTGCGGCCTTGGCCGCCTTACAGCATTGTGTAGAAGGCTTTAGGCTGTCTGCAACCCAAACTCCGAGATCTTTCTGAGTTTCTGCTTCTCGGAGTGGCATTCCGTTCAGGTGGCATTGCCGCGTACTAGGGGTCTGATTGCCGAGGCGCAGAATGGTGCATTTGTTCAAATTGAAGGACAAGAGCCATCTGCGGGACCACTCGTCCAATCGACAAAGATTTTCTTGGAAGTTGGTTTCATCGGCAGCATTCTGGATGACTTTCCAGATTTTTATGTCCTCCGCAAACAGGGCACAATCACAGTCCAACCCATCTACACAATCATTGATGAACAAGAGAAAGAGGGTTGGTCCGAGCACCGAGCCTTGTGGGACCCCACTCTCTATGAATGTGCATCTTGATTGCTGTTGTTCTACGCAGACAATTTGGGAGCGGCCGACAAGGAAATTTTCGATCCATTTGAGAAGTTTGCCACCGATGCCCATAATTCTCAACTTGTGTAGGAGACGCTGGTGCGGAACACTGTCAAACGCCTTCCGGAAATCAATATAGGCAACATGCACGGTGTGTTTTGCGTCCAGTGCTCGTGTCCAACTTTGCATTGTGTATAGCAAGTTCGTAACACATGATCTTCCCCTACGGAAACCATATTGTGCATTGGACAAGAGGTTGTGGGTTTCCAAGTAAGCCATCAACTCCTTTTTGATGGTTTTCTCCATCACTTTGCAGCAGATTGATTCAGACTGACGGGTCTGTAGTTTGTCGCCAGAGCACGACTACCGCTTTTGTAAAGGGGTGTAATGTGGGCCGTCTTCCAGTCTGTGGGAAGAATTCCAGCATCAAACGATTTCTGGCACAGAAAGGATAGTGGCTTGGCCAGCTGTTGGGCAAGCTCAAAGAGCAGCTTTGCTGGGATCCCGTCCGGACCGGGAGATTTACATTCCTTCAAGCTTTTCAGTTCTTCCAAAATCGCTTCTTCTCGAAACACAATATTTTCGATAGTGGAATCTCTCATGTTCTCAGAATTAGATGGGGTAAAGTCTGCTTCTCTTGTGAAAACGGATCGGAAAAATTGAGAAAAGTGCCCAGCCTTATTTGTACTGTCCGATATCTCCAAGCCTTCATCACCCCTCATAACAGGAATGGGATTCCTGTTACGTGTGCTTTTCCGCAAATAGCTGTAGAGCAATTTCGGATTTTTAACGGCTTGGTGGAGCAAATTACTCTCAAAGTCCCGTCGCCTCCTGAAAATCAGACTTTTCACCTTATTTCTTTGAACTTTATATTCTGTAAACGCTGCATTGTTGTTGTTCTTGTGAAATTTCTTCCATAACCTTCCTTTCTTGTTGATCTCCTTTTTGAGCTCTCGTGTTAGCCACTGAGGGCGGTTGGATATCCTAGGCTTTGATAAGGGACAGTGGTTCTTCATTAGATGCAGTAAACGATCCTTAAATAAATTCCAGTCCTCGTTAACGCTTCCGGAGAAGAGAACATCCCAGTCTATTTGTGATGCCTCAGCTCTCATTTGGCGAAAGTCTCCTTTCCATATATTTGGCCTCGTATTGTCTTTTGTACACGGTTCAGAATACAGCAAGTACTCCCATAAAAGCACTACATGATCACTTCGACCGAGCGGGGGTAGGTAGTACACCTCGTCTATACTGTCAGGATCTTTGGTAAAAACGAGGTCCAGACAATTGGCCTAGTTGGAAACAGGACACGTTGCGTGAGTAGAGCTTCTAGGGTTGTCTTTAGTAGATGGTAATCGAAGGTATTCATCGAGCACTTCGCATGCATATCGCTCTACTGAATGCAGGGTGCATTAAAATCCCCTATGAGAACAACGTCTGGTCGGCTGGCGATCTCTTTTATGCTTTCAAGACGTGCGTGCTCATTGCTAAAAATGCAGTCCGAAAACATGTTGGTCTTCCAAGTGTTTATGATGGAGCGACCTTATTCGTCCGAGGCACTTAATTCGCTTGGCGCCAACAGGGTGATCTCGCCAGCGTGCCCCAGGGCAATCAGTTGTACTCCTGATGCAATTTCGGCACTGTCAAAACCACGCCTGGCCCTCCCGATAATCCCGAAAATGGCGCAGTTAAACAGGGTGGGTAACAGTAGTGAAGAGACAAGTCTCAGGAAGCATTCATGAAGAAGGAGACATAATCACTAGAACAGGAGTTTTATTCGCCTGACGTTTTGGATTCCTGCTCGAACCCAATATCAGAGGCAATAACAGATACCCGTATCTGATGACAGGTTTGAGC